AAAAAAAGGAATTTTGGCCTCTGTATCTGCTCTATCATAAACCATAAGAAAATCTAGGTAAGGCAAGTTAATAATAAGAAAAGTAAAGAATCTCATAAATGCAGCTACTATCCTATTTTACCAATTCAGGAAACCTCCGATTTCTGAACTTCTAGGAAATCTATAAAGCTCCTAGTACTTCAAACTATTTTGAATTGAATGTATATTATTTACATCTTAAATCATCTTAATTGATAAACTAATCCTTCCAGGGTTGGTGATTTTTACCCCTACATAAAATTTTTTCTTTAATTTTGAATTAATTTTAGACTGACAGGAAATTTCACAGAAATAGGAATTTCTGTAGGACCCTAATTAGCTTTTCCTAATTTTAATATCTTATGTAACCACAATATAATAATCGAAACTTTATATGTTAATGATATAGAGCTAACTAAACTGTAGACCTTATTTGAATTTCTATAGTTTTCCTACTAGCATTCATTTTTGTTTTCAAGATTTAAATATAATTTTCATTTAGTTTCTTTTCATTTGTAACAGTTCCTTCACCTTTCTGCACACTTCTGGACAGTGCTGATCAATTATCTTTCATGGTCATTCATTTCAACTCTTCTCTGATTAGTTTCCTGAACCAAAGAGGGTGACCAGTTTTGATGCTTTTACAGATTAAGTTACTCAGTGCTCTTTATTTCTCTTGTAGTAGTCTTTCCCAGAAATACTTTCATTTCATAATAACTTAAGGCAGTAGAAACTGCCACAACGTAAGAATTAACTTAAAGTTGTCTCTATTGTTACAAACAAAAGGGGTGCTGTTTTTAGTTATGTTGCTTCTTATTTATAGTGATTATTTTGTGGATTTTCAGAATTTTGGTGGACATTCAGGACACAAAATGCACATTTAACTGACATATTAAACACTCACTCTTAGCAAAGAATTGTATTCCTTGCAAGGGACACCAAATTTTATATAACATGCCCCTGCTCTCAAAGAACAAATCTTTGGGATATAGATTGGTCTTTTTTTAAATCACTTTTTAACAGAATAAGACAGGCAGCATACATGTGAAGTAAAGCGTTTCATCTAGGCTAATGTTTCTGGAGATTCAAGATTGAGTGGTTACATCTCGGGATGGCTTTCCTGCTGGCAGAGTCCTGAGAAAGCACATGGCATCATATGCAGGAGAGGGATGTGCATGACTCTGCATACATATGTACAGTGACTCTTCCTGCCATCTTGGAGGCTTCACCTTAAATATCTTACCTAGTTGTCATCACTTCCGAAAGGCCTCCTTCTAAACACAATAGTTAGATTAAGTTCCAAGTCTCTGAATGTCTCAGGAAGGGGATTAAATTTTAACGCATGAAGAGTTAAAGCATATCTAAATCATGGCAGAACACATCTTCATGGTAAGCAGTCATCCTGAGATTTCTTTTAATAGTTGTTTAAAAGGTGTTTTAATAAAAAGTGTTTTAATTTAAAAAGTCTAGTACAGATGCTTAGTGAAGAAACATGAGTTTTAAAATTGGAGATGATATTTATCACTTTCTCTCTATCATCTATCTCTCTATCTATCTATCTATCTATCTATATCTATCTATCTATCTATGATTTATATTTCCCTATGCTTGGAGTCACCAGAACAAAGATGAACACACATACCCATTTAGCTTTTATGGGAGATATAAAACGAAATTTCCTTCATATGAAATATAATATATCATAAAATAAATATAAATGTGATCTCTTAGGGCTGAACATTTACATTTTCTTTAATGAGTAGTAACTACCAGAATCATCTTTAGACTATTAAAATACATGCATAACATTATTGTAGCTTTTGTAATAGTAAGGTACTATTAAATATACTGGGAAATAATGTTAAATATTTGAATTGATTAGAATAAAAGTTAATGTGTTATCTTTCTAGAAAGAGTTGTCATCTTCAGAAGCTCTAAAATAATGTAGTTACAAAAATTGTAATTTGTTCTGACATAGGTGATACGTGTAAAGTTTAAGCTGTAATTTCTTGTGGCCAATGAAGTGGTGTCAGGTTGCAGTCACTGATGAAACGTAGTAGCAGAGCAGGAACATTTAATCATAAAAGCCAGTTCACTGCTCTGTATCTCTCCAAAGCTGGAGCGGGTATTGAAGTTGCACTGTAGGCCAGAGTACAAGATGCAGAACAAGAACATTAATGAAGAAATAAAAGAATAATTTCTTTCTGTCAGGTCTTTAGGTCAGGTCTCAAAATGTGTGTATGTGTAAATGTATCATTTTGTATGAGTTTTGTGGGTCATCTTAGCTCCACAGATATGAAAGGCAAAGCAATCATTATTTGTAGTGTGCAGAGCTATGCTCATGAACACATAAGTGGACATATCCACGTGTGGCAGTGTAAGATAGAAAATAACAGTGAATTTTTGAAGTGACGTGAATATTTTAGTGTGTCATTTCTTCAGAAATTTTGCTTCCTTCTCTAAAATGAGAATTTCAAATATTATTTACATTATATCTCCAAGGAAAGAAGCTGTTGCCAGAAAAGGAAAACAAGGGAAAAGATGAGGAAGTAAAAGGAAAGAAAAGAGGAGAAAGAGGAAGAAGAACTGAGGCAGTGTGTGTTTTATACACTGGGTTTGATATAATAAAATGGTCTGTGCTGTGGATTAAATTGACCCTATAATGATCTGTGTCCAAGAAAAGTAGTGATAATATGAAACCATACAACAAAAAAGATACATGGGTGATCCACTTTGATAATTGGATGAGGATTTTTCTTGATGTATTCTGAGAAAGAATTATAGTAAATATCATAGACAAAGGGTGCTTATAAACTATAATTTGTTTTAGCCATTTAGATAACATTGAATGATCTTTAATTTGTAATTCATTGCAGTGTTAATTGCAGTTTTCAATTAATGTATATATTAATAAAATCATTTTTAGCTTCATTAGCTTTCTCCTTGCTAGGGAAAGAAATAACATCTATTCACAATTTAAGGAGGAGAGGTTTATTTGGCTCGTAGTTTCATCTGCTTCAATTGAGAGCTGCTAAAGCAGAAACGTGAAACATGAAAGGCCTCGCGGGGGAATGCTGCTTACCTCATGGTAACCGGGAAGCAGACTGTGTTGCAAAGTGCTCCAGAAGGGAAAGGGCTGGAAGCAGATGTAGCCTCCTTGGTTATGGTCTCCTGACCAACACAATGCACCCGCGAGACTGTTTTACTAATCTGCTAGGTGTCTCTTAATCCAGTCAATTTGACAATTTTGATTAATAGTCACAGTGATCTTTATAGTCTTGATATAAAAGAACTATTAAATGCACTGATGGGAAAGAATTCTTTAAAAAGCTGAATCTATCCTGACATTTGAAATTGAAACTGGTTTCCAGAACTGGCAGAAAGGCAAATATGATCCTTGACAATGGCCTCGCCTTCTATCATTCTGCAGCATTTACTGACAAAATCCTCACCCCATGGAGCAGCTTGCCTTCTCAGTGGTTTCAGGCAGGCTTACCCTTACTTCCTCTTTGTCCTTTTTGACCTCTTCTTGTTCACTTTTTAGCTCTCATATTTTGGAATACATTGTGTTAATCTATTACAGTTTATCTAAGATATCTCCCCAAAGTCTCATGTTTCCAGAAGTAGGGTTTTTGCAGTGGATTGGATCATGGGGCCACCGGACTGTTCAGCGGATGAATCCACTCTTTGATTGGTAGCTGAATGTTAGCAGGTGGAACATGGTAAAAAGACAGGTAGAGGTGGGGTGCTGGAGAGGTGTATTCCTGTTGCTGGATTTTTTTCTGGGCTTTCTGCTTCCTGGCCTTCAAAGGGTAAGCATCTATTCTCTGCCGTGTCCTTCTGTCATCCTCTTTCTGTCTTGGAACCAATCACTGTGGACTAAATACTGTAAAAACCATGAGTTGAAATAGGATGTTTTGTCCTAGCAACAGAGAAGCTGACTAAAACATAACCATAGTCTTGTTTCTTCATTATTTTTCATGGCTGTTACTTGTCATTGCACAAGAATAGTTGTAAAGCAAACATAATATGAATGTTTTCAAGAATCAATTCACTAGGTTTGAAGTTTTGAACTGATCTTGAGCTTAACAAATGACCCTTGCCTTCAAGGAATTGATAATATTATTGAGCAGGCAAGGTTCACACAAATGATGTTTTATTTGCTGCACCAAAATCAACAAATAAATAAATGAATAAAATAAAAAGACTATGACTAAAACAGTCAAGGAGGACATCGAGGAGAAGCAAAATTTTCCTCAAGCCATCACAATGTTTTGTAGTGAAATAAATGGAATTATTGAATAAGAGAAGTCACACAGGCATCATAAGCTAAGGAAGCTTTCTGAAGTTTCCTGACAAACACTTGGGGGAATAAAGATTTCTTAGATAATCAGGAGAACTAAAGAAGGAAACATCTTGTATGCAACTGACCCAGAGGCCAGTCTTCTGCAAAAAAGCTAAAGATGCATTTTCATGCTGTCTGGCAATTTATTTATACTGATGAAAAATTGTGTGTCAAATTTTTAAGATGTGTCCTTAAACAGGAATGGGCATGACATCTCCATCCTCTTATGTCCATCCCTTTCCTATGGGATTGAATGGGGGATGAAGTAATAAGCTATTTCAGACCATGATGACTTCTGTACCTGTGAAAAGGCAGGATCATAAGGCAGAAGGAGTTGGGATCTCAGTCCTTGTTGTATCTCATCTGATAACTCTGGAGAGACTAATAGACTCAAATGTAAGAAGAGAGAAATGCAATATTATTGGATTTAAGACTGCATTTTGGGATCTCTTATTGAGATTTTGGCAAGAAATCTGTATTTTAATGAGTATTTACTGCAGACTTAACTGATTATCAGAGTAAATTGGGGAAAGGTGTTTTAATGTGCATCCATGGAATGTGATTTCATCATATTTTCCCCATGAATAATTTGGTCTTGTTACAAATCTGAGACATAATTTATTTTGCAAGAAGGATGGCAACAGTTTCATGGCTCCATCTATATTTTTACTTTATTTATTCATGTTGATAGTAGAGCAAGGTACTATGAATATATACATGACTTTCTGTTTCTGAGTATTTTGTGGCACTCTCTTTGTCACTAGAGGAATATATCTACTTAATTTATAACCCTTATTTTGGAAGTTCCTTTGAAATAGTTTTAAAACCGTGAGGTATGTAAGCCCTTCGTAAGGGTTACCAGGTCTCTACTTTGGACTTTCTAACAGCCAAGAGGAGGAAGTAATCATGTGCAAGCAGCTGTTGTTGTGGGGTCATTCGTGTCAGCCAAGCCATCACGGCAGTGACACAAAGGCTTGTTCTCTGGTGAGTTTCATGATTTCATTTTTCTGACTTCATTAATGCCAGTAATTGATGACACTGACATTTAAAAAGAGGTGGGCGTGCAAGTCAGAGAAGTACAGAGTGGGGTGATGTTCTTGAGGGGACGAGTGCTTTGCAAAAGTCACTGGGTGGTAGCTCATGCTTTGTTTCTACACTAATTCCAACGTCACTTCTGGCTAAGACAAAGGATTAGCAACCCTGAAAGGCCAGCAGGAAGAGGTTTTGGAAAAACTCAAGACTCTAAAGGAGAGAAATGTAGTTTCTGTCAGGCTGTAAAACCATAGCACTGAAGCTAATCGGGAGTGATAAATGTCTGAGAAGGCAGTTCTTGACTCACCAAACTATCAAAAGAAAGAGCTACGGTTATGCATATATTATATAACACAAGATCTAAAATTTTGAGGAAAAATATTTTTCCTCTGTGTTTTTTATTGAAATAAAAATAAATCTTTGCTTCTGTTTATTTTCTCACTCTTTTCTTTCCATTTCTATTTTTTACCGTTCCTTCTTCCTTACATGTAAAAAGGTCAAGTTTCATTAACCCCACAGTCCTGGCTGATGCGGGGAATAGGCAGCTGAACCTCTGGAGCTGACTTTTCCATTTTTCTCCCTCAGAAATGGCCCTAAAGAGTCTCTGCACTCAGCCAGGTGCCCAGCAAAGAATCAGTGACATGAAAGTATGTCAGGCAGATTTCCTAGTTTATGTCTGAGGGATTTGCAAGCTTCACCATAATGTATTCTGAAAACTTTGCATCTTTTCGACAAGATATATTGAATCTCAGACCCTGGGATGTGATTGATCTCAGTGCTGGGGTAATATGTTAGGATGTCTCACAGTATCTGACAGCCCTTTATTATGGATTTTAAAAGGCTAGCATCCTGGATGAGAATCCCCAAAGGTCATTCCTAGAAAAAGTACTTAAATTTTAAAATTCAGTATGGGGGCCTTTTGCAGTCATGGTGGAGGCAATATTAAAAAACCTAGTGGGGCTCCAGGTCTTTTCATCAAGGTGTAGGAGGCTTGTTTCAGAGAAATGCCTTTACCCAATGTCTTGAGATTGACTCTTAGCTGATAGAAATTGGCTTTCTTATTCTTGTTCAATAGCTTTAGAGTTCTTTTGACTGAGGCCAGCCTACTTTAAATTAAAATTCTTGGAACCATGAAGACGCCAGAGGGGTGTTGATATGCCAGGTCACCAAAGACCTTCCTGGAGAAAAACTGGGAGAAATTAGAAAAACCTGAATTATGTCTGTCTTTCTACCCAAATTCCTGATTCTCTCAGGCTTTAATCTGATAGTCCAGTCTTAGAGATTTCTACAAAGTGTACTGGTAATGACATGACTTGTGACTACTAACAGGAATTTAATCAATGTCTTAAGGATTAAAAGCCCCAAACCTCAAAGGAATAAAACTGTAATGATTGAATGAAAGCCTATTTGTTTAACGTTTTGGGAGCAAAACTAGGACACAGACCTCATAAATCAAATTGTTGACAGGTTTATGTTCAGCCTGGCTGACCCATTTTCTCTCTTGGGGTAGAGAAAACAAAACATAAGTAGCAGATCAAGAGTACCAGCTACTCTCATGGACATTTTAAGTGTTAAATGAATTATCCTAGGGTGACTGTCTTGAGCTCTGTTCCAAAGAGCTCACATTATGTCACTTTAGAAACAGTGTCTGCCCATTGGTCAGAGAGGAAGTTAGGGTAGATAGTTTCATCCAGCAGCTCGAAGGCTGTGTCTTTTTGTCTGGGTTGTATGATGCACACCAAAATCAGTGAGATAATTCAAGTAAACATGTATGGATAAGTGTTGAAAAATTTAATGTATACAAGACCAAATGAAAAAAATGTCTTAATCAAAGATGGTTAAAAGGTGATGTTAGAAACATCACCTTTGAATTATGACAGTCTACTCTGTTTTAGAAGTGTGGATTCAAATACTGCTCACAGAACACATTTTTGTGGAATTTTTGCCTAGTGTTATTCTTTGCAGCAGATGGTATTCCAGGTATGTGGCAAAATTACCCTGTTTTATTTGGACATCAATCACATTTTAGGAGGATGAAATGAAATGCTTTGGAACAAATAAAGTGTTTTTCTCCACTCTATTAGGTACAAACTTCTAAAACTAAAATTGCTGGAGAATATACTTTATTTAAAGTTATAAAATACTGTGAGGAAAAATTTCCTATTGTGTGTTTATGGACTTAAGAACTGGCACAAAACTAAGCAGGGCTGTCCTCTTTGTTTGGTGTGGGGGGACAGAATGCCAGATCCAGTTTTAGAAGATGAAAGAGACCACCAGCCTCTTCTATTGTATATTCCTAAGAAAGCAATGCCCTCAGAGGACCAAGAGAATTTATGAATTATAATATTCTAAGGTTTCAGGTGTCTTAGTTTTTAAAAAATTATGCATAATAATTATACATATTTGTGTGATATTTTAATACCTGAATACAATCTGTAATGATCACATTAGGACAATTATCTTGTCAACTACCCCATTTTTTGTATTGAAAACATTCAAAATCTTTTTTTTCCAAATACCCAGAAAATTATTTTCTACAAGCATCCTACTGTGCTGTAGGGCTCTAGAACTTATTTTTTCTAACTATAAGTTTGAACTCATTGACTAATTTCTCCTTCCCGTCTTACAAGTCTAGTGTCTCTTAGTTCTCTTCTATATGACCAGCATTTTTGCTTCCACATATAAGTGAAATAATGTAGTTTTTGTTTTTCCGTGATTGGTTTATTTAACATAATGTCCTTCAGGTTCATCTATGTTTACACAAATGGCAAGATTTTATTCTTTTCATGGCTGAAAAAATAGTCTGTTGTGTGAACATTACATTTTCTTTATTCAACTGTACATAGACATTCACACTGTTTCTGTGTCTTCACTGTTAAGAATAGTGTCGCAACAAATAGACAATGCAGAAATTTCTGATTTTCTTTCAGCAGAGAAATACAAATCAGAACCACATTGAAATATCACTTCACTCCAGTTGCCATTTTAAAGACAAAAAATTTCAAACTCTGATGAGGATATGGGAAAGAGGAGCTCCAGTATATTATTTGTGGGGATGTAAGTTAGTACAGCTTTTATGGGAAACAGTATGGATGGTCCTCAAATAATTAAAAACGAAAACATCATTTGACCTAGCAACTCCATTTCTGGATGTGCATGCAAAAAATGGAAATCAGTATGCCAAAGAGATACCTGAATTGAATTTTAATTGTGAGATAGTGGTATAACATGAAAATATCTTAAAACACTGTTAAACACATGAAATGACATGGTTTGTAAAGAGTTAGATTATGTAGAATTGAAATCATGACACTTTGGAGATTTGAATAACTTTAAGCCCAGAACCTCCTCGGGCAGTAAAAGCAGTCCCTCTCTCTTGTCGGATAAGTCTGATCCCATAATGCTTACAGATACTGACTTCACAGAGCAGGGATGCTAGATTTCTCCCCCAACCACCTAACTTGTTATATTCAGTTAGATTGTGATATGTTCTTACCAAACCATTACAGATCAAACCTAATGTTGACTCCTACATTTCAATATTTTGCACCAGGAAAAGATCTTGGAGATCGTATATGAGAATTGGTCCTAAGTGTGCTAAGCCATACAAAGAGAAATATTTTACATCAAGTTGCTTATCGATTTTGATATAATGGTAGAGATTCTGGATTTAATGGGCTAGGGCTTTAAACAGATTTAATTTTATTTTTTACTAAAACTCAAATAAATTACAGCCTATGTCAAATAAAGAGACTGGAAATTCCTTGGTGTAATGTAAAGTGAGGAATACAAAATCTTAAAAGGAAAAAAAATTGCTTAGATTCATCACACCCTTCCAGTACATTTAGAACTACCTGCAAGGGGGTCTAGGTGGATTTGACTAAGGAAAGAGAGAAAAGGAGGAAAGGAGAGAGGATGAGGGTGAGGGAGAAGAAGGGAGAGGAAGGGCAGAGCTAGGGAGCATTAGGGAAAAGAATTGGAGAGAGAGAGACAGACAGACAGACAGACAGACAGATTAGTAGAAGCACCATGAAACTTTAGAAACAACTTACTTAAATGACTATTATCTTTGGACTAAGATAAAAGATGTAGGAAATGCAATTATACAAATGAGTTTCTGGTTCAATGTAAATCCTCAGCAGTCAGAATAACAACAAGAACATATTGGTTAATAATGATCTGATTCAAGATAGGGATGCTATTATTAAAGTCAGCCGAGCATAATTGGTAAGCAGAGTGATCTGATCTACATAAAATTTTGGCAATGATAGTTTGACTGTGGCTACTCAGAGCTGAAAAGGGACAACATTTCACTATAATTTTAGTTAATGTGACTCAGAGACAGATGAATTTCACTTGAATCAAAGCCATCGATAGTTGAATTCCTCACCCAAATTATAAATCTGGCTTACACCACTTAAATGAAGAGAAAGTCACACACGTGACACTGCCTTAGCCTGTTTTGTGTTTCCATAACAATATACATGACATTAGGTAATTTATAAAGAACAGAACTTTATTGGCTCACAGTTCTGGAGTCCAATATCAAGGCGACTGTATCTGGTGTGAGCCTTCTTGCTGGCTCACCATATGGTGAAAGGCAAGAAGGCAAGAGTGTGAAATACAGAGCCAAACACCTTTGTACAATGTCATCAGTGTCACTCATGAGAATGGAGCCTTCATGATATAGTTACCTATTAAAATCTCACTTCCTAGTACTATTGCAATGGCTGTTAAATTTGTACATGAATTTTAGAGGAAATAAACCATAACAAACTCTGTAATGACTTTCTAAGTATTCACTACATATCTTCTCATTATTCTCCAAAGAGATTTGTGGCAAATTCAAGGTTAATGATGTCTTGACTGCTAGGAAATACCTGGGTTTGGGGGGAAATTATTGGACAATGGCCCTGTGAAAACACTAATTTCTAGTAAATCTGTGGTCTAGA